GCCCCTTTCTGACAGATAACCAAGAATTGTGTTCAGTCAGAGTTCATTAACCCAGAGGCTAACTCTACCTCTGGCCTTCACCTCAGCCTTTATCGTTTGTGTTTTGATAGGAAAAGGTAGTAAAACTAGACCAGGACGTCTGGACCCTGACATCACTTTACAAGTCATATTTAACACTTATTGCTTATTAGTCATAGCCTGGCTTGTTGAAGGCACTTAATCCGTATTAGGTCTTGTTTCTGGAAATCCCAGATAACAACATACAAATAGAGTTGAAAACTACTTTTTAGACACAGTTGCGTCAGAAATAAAGCCCACAATTTTAAAAGATCAGTTTTCACAAGATCCCATAACACATACTGTCAACCAAATACTCTGGAACCCTGCTATGAAGCAAGTGTTTGTGTGTAGCTTTTTGAAATTATTATTAAGTGAAATAAACCAATCAAAAAGATCTCGGAGAGTCCTGGAATAGAAAGCATCTTACAAAGACAGAATAACTCAAAACTCTGTGACAACCTGTCATATATAATCCATTTTACAAAGCTTTTACAGAACGCAGCATATAGACCATTGATATTTGCTTATAACAAACAATAGTGTCAAATTTAAGAATAAATCAAATACAGCACAAATCAGGATATATGTGATTACACGATAAATAAACGATCAGCCCAAACATCCAAATCCAGCTTTCAGTACTTAAGAGATAAGACAAGTTAGGTTCAGTGCTCCAAAAGTATTGAAGCTTTTCCAGGTATTCACGGGTCAACAACAGAGAACGGCTTCACAGTACAGTATTTCACAGCAAAAATCCATTTCATTTAAAAAAGGGCGTTACACTGAAGAAACCCTGAAATATTCTGTCATTTACATGATACATGATTTCTTCTGCATTTCGGTTGTCTCAGCAATTTGTTGAAAGTTTAACATTTTCTTTGTAAATGAATGTTTGCACGGAATACTTTACCTTATAAATGAGTTTCTGGTGTCTTTGAACTTTGAAGTTTGGTTATATATACATATAAGTGTCATGTACCAACCAGACACTTTGTCCATCACACACAGAGAGTTCAATGACCTGGAAAAGGAAGGAAATATTAAAGTCAATATTTGACGACAACCTTGGAAGAAAAGCAAACTTTGTTTCAGTTAGTCAAGGCTAATTTGACTCCATTCTCTTTAAAACTATCCAATGACTGTCTTATCGATTTTTACAGTCTCTCTTTATTGAACTATATTTAAAAGCCTACATTTTAGAGTTTGCATGTATTTTATCAATAGTAGAAAAAAAGGATCCTGTTCAGGTGCCAGCCATTACGTCATGCTCCATCAGACCTGGACCGCTTCCCTGCTTGATGTCAGAATACAGCAGTTGTTCCACTTATAGAATGAAGGACATTTTAATTTAACTGTCCTGGTCATAGATAAGCGTCTGTCCTCCGTGTCCGTCTCTGCCTGCTCCTTACCTCCATAAACACAGCCTTATCACAAACATTTACAACTATCATGATGCTTCATGGGTCTTGATGACAGCTGAGTGCATTACAGGTCATTCTGCTGAGAGGATCACATCCGTTAAAGAAGCTGTTTTATCGATTATTTAGACCTAAAATTTGTTTTGCTTAAAGGTGCACTATGTAGATTTGGTGGTGAAATTTGAAAGTTGGAGAAGGGAGACAATTCTTTTCTATATTTTCTGAACTAAATAGAAAACCTTATTCGAAGGAAAAACGGGTCCCTGGAGCTAAAAAGCTACCAGGAGAGTTACGGTTTCACTGTTGTGGACCCCCCACCATAACTTCTCACGTAGCATTTTATCTTCAAACAGTGTTACAGGGACCAAATTTTCCTCTGAGGACAGTTTGTGTATAGAGTTATGAACATATACCACATAATCTGTACACTTCTCCAACTTTCACATTTCTTTATTAAAACTCCATAGTGCACCTTTAAGCTGTTGTGACCTACAGGTAAAGTTTGTCACATCTTACATGAATAATCACGATAGATTATTAAAATGACATCATTAATTGGGGTGGAGTGGGGTAGGCAGGCGTGGGATATATTGGGGGAATTATTTTCTTTGCCCCCCTCATTGCCATTATTCTTTGCTTATTTGTATATTGTGACAATCCAGGGGAGAGAGACGATTCAATCTTTGTTTGCCCCTTTTGTCTGCTGTCTTCGTCTCTCTTTTCTTACGTACTGACTGTATAAGGGATTATGTATATGATATAATGCACATGATTCCTCTCTCCTGTATATTTGTGGGCTGTTGACAAAACAACATTTTTTTTTTCTTTATTGTAAGTGACAATGTTTAAAAATTAAATAATTGATCACAAAAAAAAAGAAATGACATCATTCTGTAAAGGAGACATATTCTTTATTGTTTGCTGGAAGAGGTGAGTAAAGACACAGATGGAGTAAAACAAACACTCGGTGACTGGTGCTGCCAGTAGTGTCTGGCTTGTAATCTCTTTATTGCGGTCATTCACTCCAAGCACTGACCTTGACTCCACCACTCTGTGGTTCACGTCTTCCTCAGTAACTTCCCTCCTAAGACGTTTTAAGACGTCTCAGCTTGTGCAGTGGATGTTCCATTAAAAGAAAAGTACATAAAGTGCTGTGTATCGTGTCACTTTCAAATGTTCTAAGCACTTAAACTGGTTCATAGTGAAACATGGAAATGTGCGGTTTGTTTATATGTGACAATAATAAATACATTTGCATATCAGTATCAGTCCTCGGTGCCAGGCGCCAAGGAGATAAGGAATTAGAGTAGACGTTTTTAAATGACAAATTGAACAATCTAACATATCTCACATCAAAATCTGAAATTCCTTGAATTTTCTTTGCAAACTTTTATTGTTTCAGAATACTAACAGCTATTTTAACAACTTCAGTAGGTTGGAATTGTAAGAGAAATTTACTGACCATGAAAAGACCAAGAAAGACAATCTAGCTAGCTAATAATCAAGCTCGCTCTCTTGGTAGCTAGCTAGCACAGATCATGCAATAAAATTGTTATATATTGCGGTAATGATAGGCCTATGTGGTACAATAAAAACACATATTAGCTATAACTCAAAGTTTCTGTCCATCTGCTGTTCTTAATGTTCTACACGATACATTTCTTTGTGACATGTCCCTCCTTTCAGCTTTCTTTCACCACTAAATTGGCACCATGTCAACCATGATGGTATAACTGACTGTGCCTCAGAGTACATTAAGTTCTGTGTTAATACTTCTGTCCCCACCAAAAACATCTGTAGTTGTCCAAATAACAAACCCTGGTTTACAAGCAACCAAAAGCCTTACGGAAAGAGAAGAAGAGGGCCTTTAGGTCAGGGGACAGAGAAGACAAAGACAACTGAAACACAGACTAAAGGAGAGTAAAGAGTCTTACAGAAAGAAACATCGGGCCCCTCAAAGAACTTTTCTTTCTACTTTTCTCTTCACAGTACAGCTCAGAGTCATGTCATCTTCAAAAATACTCTGATGACACAGTCATTTTCAGGTGTGTTGAAAATGGACAGAAGGAGGAGTATCGGAGCCTGGTTGAGCAGTTTGTGAGGTGTTGTGGGGAGAATCACCTGCAGCTGAAGGTGTGGAAGACAAAAGAGATGGTGGTAGACTTCTAACCCTAACCCTCTTCTTCTCCAGTCTGTTGTTGGCCTGCAACTTATCAGACTGGATGAGGTGGTTGAGGCCAGAATGCTGGCAAAACTGCAGACCATCATGTCTGCAACCCTCCTGCCTCATTCTGACTGTGTAACAGATTTGCACATGTCTGTCTGTCTGTCTGTCTGCTAAAATTACCAATAATTAATAATTGATATTAATAAAAATAGATAGAAACACAAATATGTAACAACATGAGGCCTGTCTTAATTCTCTAAGTGAGTGTTGATATCTAATAATGATTTGAGAGTATCGGGTCCCATAACATGAAATTAATTGAAAAACTGTTTAAATGGTGAATCTTTCATTGTTAATAATAGTAGTTAAAAAGATTAATACAGATATGTAATATAATAAGGTGTGTCACATTTCTCCAAGTGATTTTCATTCAGACATTTTATGTCAAATTATGGGGAAAACATCTTTGCAGCATGAGTGCATTAGGGTTTAGCCTTAACACAAGAGCATGGATGGAAATTAATCATCATGTTGTAATTAAATAGGGAAGAAAACTTCACAAAATCTAAATGAAAAATTACCTGAATAAATATATAGGTTTAAAAAATTCAAACATTTAAAAAGGTTATTTCTTTTTGTGTATGGCAAGAAAAAAATGTGTTTCAGTTTGGTGATAGTGGGTGGATGGTATGGGAATAAGGTCAATATTCCTAAAATCCTTTCAGAGAAATGTAGATTTGATAGGTACAGTATATACAGTAGCAGTGTTAATTAGTCTCAATAATAGCAAAGGAAAACACAAGATTAAAAAGCAGATGAAGGGGGCAAGTCAATTTCTGAAACCAAATCATTATTTTTAAATTTCAACTGCTGGTCTATGATAACAATGAGATTACTTTATTAGAAAAAAAGAATAAAGTAGCTTCCAGCTCTAAATGACTTAACTCGTAGGTCAATGCCCTCTCTCTCTCTGCTCTGGCCTCTTTCCAGCATTGCAGGTGTGAGCTGGCAGCGTGCAGGGACACAGAGTGAGGCTGATTACCTCTTCAGTCCTTGGTAGCTTGGTACTGCCTGGGTTAATGACACCAGCTACGAGATAAGGCCAAACCCTCATGATATCCAGGCGTTACTCCACTGGCTCTGCTTCATTGAGAAAACCTTATCGGTTTCCCAGGGTTATTCCAGCAGTCACCTGGCAAAGCACATAGTTGTTTTTCACAGAGTGTATTGACAAGTCAAGGTCCACTTTGCAGGCTGGGCTAGCTGTATAAATACAGGAGCAGTGACGGAAGCAGCAGCAGAAGCTCGTTGGAGATCTCTTACACTTAACCACAGAGACCTCTACAATCTACAAAATGGATAACGAATGTCTTTGTTCAGCCAGCAGTGACAGGCTTTCCAACCCTATCCTCTACAACATCCTGAGCCAAATGGATAACAGCAAACCAATCCAAAACAGCTTCAGCTACACTTCAATACCTCATAGATGCAACTGTGAGCAGCGGCGGACTGTGTGCTTAAAAAGTTCATCAGACATCTGCAAAGAAGCCTCAGCAGTTCTGGTTAAAACCATCCAGTTCATGAAGAACTTACCTGCCTTTAACCAGATGCCTCCAAATGACCAATTTGCACTTCTCAAAAGCTGCTGGGCGCCGCTCTTCATCATGGGTCTGGCCCAGGAGCATGTGGACTTTGAGGTGATGGACACTCCTGCAGACAGCATGCTGAAAAAGATTCTCCTCAACAGGCAGGAGAGCCTTGAAATGGAGAGAGAGCAGCCTACCATGGCCGGTGTTAGTAAACTCAAATCCTGCCTCAAAAAGTTCTGGAGTTTGGATTTGAGTCCAAAGGAGTATGCATACCTCAAAGGGACCACAATATTCAACCCAGGTATGTATTCATCTGATGATATCCCTTGTGAAACAAAAAAAAAATCCCTCCTGATTGAACAAAAAAAATACATATTGTAACTCTAATTTTTACTTTTTCATTTAACAGATGTCCCAGATTTAAAGGCAGCTCTGTTTGTTGAAGGCTTGCAGCATGAGGCTCAACACGCCCTAAGTGAGGTGGTCCAGCTCCTTCACCCAGGGGACACGGAGCGTTTTGCTCGGATCCTCCTCACAGCCTCCATGCTACAGAGCATAACACCCAGCCTCATCTCTGAACTCTTCTTCAGGCCTGTGATCGGCCAGGCTGACCTGCTGGAGCTGCTGGTCGACATGCTCTTCTGCAGGTAGAAGAGGACTACATGTGACTGTGCTGAACGTTGAAACTTATTTTTAAGTGAACAGGACACTATGAAGTACCTAGAATGACATTAAAGTTGAGGTCACTTTAGCCCAGACTGAAAAGATTGTATCCCCTTTAGGGGAAATTGGGACTTTCCACTTACAGAAGCCTACCCTCTGTTAATGTATTGTTTTTTTTATTGTTGGAGATCTTTTTCTGTTTGCACCAATGTTGTAAATATGTTTCTGCATGTCTGCATTTTCAGAGCATTTCACATAAATATATTTTTGTACATCAGTATAACACTCAGAGTATGCTGTTGAAAAAGATGCACAACAACCAAATATGACACTATATGTATACATCAGGTATTACACCTGATAATGACATCTTTATTCATACATTTTGTCGGGCGGGTTGAATTATGCAGCCGCGTGTGGCTCAAGAACATTTCTTGAAATACAGAATACCAGGGCTTCCAAGGATAGAAAAGTGTCAGCGTGGATTCCCTGGAAATGTGTGGAAAATTATGAAACACACACCATTCACATCAAGTTAGGGCGGATTAATTCATGTTTCTAGTATGAGCACAAATATTACATTTCTTGTTTGCACATGTCTTGGAACATTTTTAAAGTTACCAGCACCAAAAGATCAACTTCCCTAAACAGGTCAAAAATGTATTTAAAAAACATTGTAACCTGCCAAATGGTGTACTTCAACCAAAACCTTTCTTCACTTGAGCTCTACAATTATTTACAATGCGAAAGAACAGTTTAGATTTTATTTAAATATAAGAATCAATTCCTGGAATAGTCGCACTTCACAGATTAAATTGAAATTGAAAATGTTCCGGGGGAAAAAAAAACATGTAGCTTATGATCATCCAAAAATATAAATGAATAAACAAATGCAGTAAAAGCCAGATACAACATTGCTCAAATTGTACACAGTTGTTCATAATTATTTGGCTATATGTGATGAAACATTGGCAAACTGTGACAAAGAATAAAAAAAAGCTCTTCCAATTATTTTTTTTACAAGATAAACCCTAAACCTATAACTCATATGAGAAGCATTTCAAGTTCTTTTGAAAACTTCAACTATCTGAAAGGACTTGAGCAAAAACTGTGCCTTCAAAAATTGCTGCTACCTCAGTGGTATTTTAGCTCCCTCTAGTGGAATATTATGGAAGTCACATCTTCACACGGAGACACTTTAAAATAAGGAACTTAAAAGCCTAGGCTAAGCCCCTACACAAATGGCCTGGATGCTAAGCAAAGTGTCTTAATGTTAATCTTAATGACATATTTAATGTGGAACAAGCACCTCTTGATTTATCCAATACAGTCTGTGGCATGTTGGTAGGTTGTGAAACAGCGAGCCTCCACATGACACCTCATACAGGTAAAACAGGAATGTGCTGGTGGGGGCAGAGAGCCAGAGGAAACGGGGTTACACAGGACAACTGAACACATCACAGACGCATGACAAAGAGCAAAACATTTGTCAGAAAAGTTCACTGGGCTTTTCTGCATGATATTTAATTCAACAATAATTATTGAATTATCTTTACTACTTTAGAGAATAAGTCCGGATGCCTGTGCAGCCGTTTCAAATACATTTCTGAAGACTTCCAGGCTGAGAAAAACACATTTCACTGAACAGAGAATGCATTTTCAATCATTTGCCCTTTAGACAAAATAGCAGAGTTCATATTTCTTTTGCTGACATTTTCACTAATTTAAGTGTTCATAAACAACAGGAGCACAATTTACATTTTCTCATTGACTATTATTAAATATTTCCATTTACCGCCCTGCCGATATTACAAAATGTACATGGCATCCAGGCCATTTGACTCTAACTTTGATTTAGGGAACAGTTCCTGAAATTGACCTGGTTTTTCTGCACTGCTTCTTTCCTTTGCAATGAATGACAAAGACAAACCCCAGGATTTTATTTCCTTTCTGCCAGAACCAGCCAAACAAGTTTCTTCTGCTGAGGGCGGAATAAGCCTACCTAGCAGTGACCTCGGGGAGATGAGTTTGACAACAATAATCCAAGAGATACACAGAAAAAGTAGGCTGAAGAGACAGAAAGCGATCAGACGGAGGGACTTGTTGATATGTGAGAGCCGATAATTAGGTGCAAAACCAACAAAGCTGCTTATATTCACACAACTTAACTTTGAAAGAGTTGAAAGAGTTCTCTGTTAGCATGAAGCTAACAGAGAAATAAATGAGTTTTTCTGCACATAAAAAGATAATTCCTTGGATCATACATATGAAAAGCCATAAACAAGCATGGACATTTTTATTTTGTTAAAAACAGGACTTATCTGTGAATAAAAAAAAAAGTTTTACAACCAAGAAATCCTTGAAATATGTACAGTACAATATGGCTTAACACAGCAGTTTTCAGGTCAAAACATGCTTTAAAAGAAGTCTAAATGGCAGGAGTCACTATATACACACAGTACATGGCTTGCAAAAACATCACAGTCAAGAATGAGTATGGTCATGTTCTAGTATCAGTCTCTGTCCTCTGGCCTGACTGTGAGGAAGAGTGTAGTCAAGTCTCTTTAAACACTGAATGCAAACATAAAAGATAAGCATCGTCTTTCTCATGATTTAAAAAAAAAAACTTTGTTTCCTCAGAGGGTCATTTGCTGGAGAGATAAAGGTCCATTTATTTAAATGACACTCCAATGGCAAACATTAGCAGGACCTCTAAAAGGAGGAAAACAACGGTCCATTTAAAGGTGCTCCAGTCAGTAACAGCAAACAAAAATAACATTATGGAGGGTTAACATTGTCCATCTGGGCCAAAACATCACAGATGAAGCAGAGGAGCGCCTGAGGAGTCTGTTTCGGTGTCGTGATGGTAGGCAGAAAAGGCTGTGGCTGTGCTGGAGGAGTATGCTTGAGGAGGAAGGAGAAAGAGATTATTCAATGCACTGCAAAGAAAACGCGTTACAGTGATAGTTCACGTGGAACACAAGACAGAAAAAAAAAAAAAGTTTAACCCCACATCCTCAGGCCGCCATGTGAAAGTTGTGGAAACACATTGTGTTGCATCCCCATTGTAACACACGTAACAAGACACCCTGTCCTTTAAACAGCCTCTTTGCAGAACAACACAAAATGAAAAGAAATAAAAGAGCTTCTGCACAGTAATCCACCTGTAACCCAAGCTGCTCTCTAAAATGACATAAGACATTCTGTGGCTTATATTTAATGTGACTCAATCAGGGGGTGTAGCGTGACCGCTGAGCTGCAGGGGAGAATGGGGACAGATTGATGGGTGGGTGTAAGGTGGCAGATAAGGGGAGGAGGCAGCTAATGAGCGAGGGATTGTAATATCCAGAGAAAAGGGCAGGAATGCAGGGCTTTCACTGCGTACAGAGTGGTATGTTAGAGGAAAGTAGAGAGGAGGTGAGAAACTGCCTGCAGCTGCAGCAGGTACAATGGACTGCAGAGAATGAGCCTCACACACCGATTCCCCAGGATGGTAGTTACACCTCAATGCCCGGGACAAGTACAGCTCCATCAGCACCATAAATACAATTATTAATAAAGCATGTGATACTTCTAAAACACTAATTACACGCCCATTCAATCTGATTCTTCTTTACTCTTGATTGTATTAAACTCTTTGTTCTTCTTATTTTCATTCATTTGGACCCAAATGAAGGGGCGATGATACGTCCCCACATGCACACTCACTTCTCTCGCTGTAATGTCTCATTTTCCGTGCCAGCTCGTCTGACGGCGTCTGCTCTGACACTTTCACCTCTGGAACTGCAGCAGGAGGACAAAAACACAAACGTAAACACAAGTAGACATGCAGCTTCAGCGGACAAAAAAAAAATACGCTCTGGTTTGAAAAATAATCACTTCATCTCTGCTGTTGTGCAGTTTGTTTTAGAAAAGACAGCTTGTACCTGTTTCAACTTGCCCCAGGTTCACCAATTATTATTAGGTCACAGCCTGTAAATGCCCGCTGTATTAGGGCTTAAAACTATGAGACAAACAAAGTGCTCCAACAGACACTATGACTCATTTACGGAAACAGATTAGATGATTGGTATATCTGGTATGTTGCAGGTAGGGGTGAAAAATCTTGTTATGCTGTATCACACGTATTAATGTGATTGCTTTTAAAATGTTGAACGATATACTTACAGTCACTGCTCATGAATGTGTTGGTCATGGTCTCGTTGCCGCTGTCAGGCAGGGTCCCGTCATTCCTCCCGTTAGGCCGCTGTTGTCCAGTCGAATGGGGGGTCTTGTTTCTCTTGCCCTTCCTTGTGCTGATGCGGATGACCCCGTGCACCAGCTTGCACTCGGCCTCCTGCTCCTCCAGGTTGTAGTCCTGGGCGATGCTGTAGATGAGCTCGCTGATCTCGTTGGTCTTGCGGGAGAACGATGAGTCGGAGGTGCACTTGGCCAGCTGGTCGATCTGGTGCAGGGCGTAAAGCTCCAGAAGCTTCTTGGTGATCAGGGAGTCAATGTCTGTGCCCGTGTCACTCAGATCATCCAGGTCGTAGTCCTCACGCGATAACAAGCTAGTGTTGCTGATAGGTCGCTGGCTTTCCCCCTTACCAGGCGTGCGGGTCCGTTTAGGGGCATCAGCATGATAGCAAACAGTCTGGCCTCCAATGCGAACATCCGGGTAGCGGAAGCTGTCACTGGTGGGCAACTTTGAGACTTTTGGAGATTTCCTTGACTCCAAAGGGATGCCACAAGTGGGGTTTGTGACCGCCATGCCATTGGGAGGGTGAGGCTCACTGACTGCTTTAGGGGGGTGGTCTGTGGAGCTCTCATTAACAGGCAGACATGGCTCCCTGTTGCCATAAAATCCGCAGGTCAGCACACAGCAGATAAGAGCCTTACAGCTGCTCCAGCCCATGGAGGCACAGGAGCCGCAGGTATGTCTGCTGGCAGGTGTGCTGTCTGCTGACCCGGGAATAAATCCTATAGTCTCTGAGCCCCGGCCTGTGCCATTCCTCGGGTGGCCTCGGCTGCGGTTGTACTTATTTTCTGAATACCGGGGCTGGTCATTGTGATGCTCATGCACACGATGCTCCCCATGAGGGTTCTTGTAGGAGTCTTGGCTGGCTGTGCTCTCCCTGGATATAGTCCTGTTCTGGCGATACTTCCCCCCTCTGGAGCCAGAGCTGTGGTGTTTGTAGACACGGGACGCCTTGGGAGCCTCTGTGCTGTGGCCAGGCATGGCTCAGAATGCCTGGGACCTGGTGGGGGAAAAAAAAAAGGCACTTTTTAGATATAATTACCAGGTTTTTCCCCCCAGCCTTCTGTTTCTACACCACACTGATGTAACTTACACTGAACACCTGCGTAGTAAACAAGAAGCTTCAAGTTAAGACGACTCCCCTTAAGTTTTGAGCATGTAAAGAACCGAGAGCATTGATTGCTGCCCTTAAAAAATGTTTGGGCCATATCGTTTCACTCTTGTTTTTCTTACAGTAGACTTATTTTAGTTCACAACAAAATCCATTTGACATTCGACCGCTTTTTATTTTGACTTAGTCTACTAAGATTCACTTACCGCATAAGATGAGTTATGTCTATGATCCAAGGGAACTTGTTCAGCGAGCAAACCGCGGAAGTCTCACACAGAAAACTTCAAACAGCGAAAGAAAGACTTCGATTTTGGACCGTCCAAATATTTCCAGGTGACTTTCCATCAAAAGAAAAAACTTGTGCAAAGCTAAAGTCGTCTTCCTCGACCGACCGAATCAACTTGGCACAAACGTGTCGTCTCCTTTTTGTAAAACTCAAGTCTTGAGTAGCTGAGAGTCTCTCAATGTTTGGCTATTACCTGCGGCTACTGCTAATCCCAGAATCTACACCCACCCACAGGTGAGTGGTGACGTCACGCGAGGCGTATATAAAATCACAGAAGTAGGAACGAAAGTTTTAAAAAGAGAGAGTAAGGGATGAAAGAATGAACAGGAAAAGAGAAAAAGAGAAATCTCTTTCATTATGATAGTGAAAAAAAAACGAATCTTTTCAAAGTTTGAAAAAGTTTGTAGCATGTGATACAACATAACAACTGATGGTCAAGCTGTACACATTCTTACAAGTAGACTTTATCACATGAAAACACACACACACACACACACACACACACACACACACACACTCTGACATAGACAGAGGTGTACTGCTGAAGAGCCAGCAGGTGTTTTCCTCAGCAGTTCTTTCATTCTGCCCTATTTTTCCCTCATGGAAACACTAAATCACCCAAACTGTGAACTGAAGTAGTAGGGTCACCTGGCAGAAAAAATAAGAGTGTGTGCAGCACGGTTTCACTTTTCTTTTCTTGCGGTTTCACTGCATCCACAACAAAGCAGGAGAACAAGTAATTCATCAAGTTGTTTTTATTTATAACAAATTGAAAAACAAGTTTAATGTCATAAAGTGGCATTAAACATCTAGTTCTTTTCAAATAATTCAAACCACATTTAAATTCTAGCACAATGGACACACACCATTAATTCACGCTTTTTTAAATTTCAAAGTACATAATCTAATCAAGATCTATTGTAAAATGTGTATACAGTTTCTAATATGAACATACGTTTTTCATGCCATCGATGCCGTTTCCCATTCAGGCAATTTTCTGCTCATGTTAACATATTAAAAGGCTAAAACCAAACAGCAAAGAAAAAACACAATTCTAGATGTATTTTTTTAATACATCCTGTGTATTATATGTTTTATAAAATATTTGATAAACACACACTATTGAGGTAAATATACATATATAATGCTCTGGTGCCTGAATAAAAAAGGCACTTTAAGGTGAGCTTATAACTGCTATCTATTAATTGGAAACTTGTAGTTTTACAGTGAATCTATCAGCATTATCTATTTACATTTACATATTTCTCTCTCACCAGCTCTAACGGAGCATTGTGGAAGAGGCTGTCACCTGTTTGACTTGTGTATCTGCAGGGACCTTGAGAATGCACGTGTCATTTGGCAGTTCCTGTGATGGAGCAGATCCTAAATGCCCCTGTACTCTGCAGCCCACGTTACCCGCCTGGATGTGCCCCAGCCGAGGATCTGAGTCAATCTCAAAGCGATAATGATACCCCTCCAGGACGTCCTGACATGCATCTCTCATGTCAATGATCCATTTCTTCATATCTTTTCGATTCAGGTAGAGCACAAAAAGAAACACCATGCCCACAAACCCTAGAACCAGCCCAAGGAAGACATAGGAGGTCTGCAGAGAAAGGTCCGCCACCTCAGCTTGGTCTGGACCAACGCATCCAATGGCCTGGATGCCAAGCCCTCGCACCTGGGTGCCACTTAACTTACTTGGGGAGGTGCACCTCACAGCTTCCACATCAACCTGAGCTCTCGATTCGTTCAGCCAGGACACAAACTCACGGATTTCGCAGGAGCATGTGTAGGGGTTGTCACCGAGAAGGATCCGGATGTTGCCAAGCTTCTCAATCTCCTGCAGAGCATCATCCCTGAAGGTCCTGAAGTCATTATGTGTCAGGTCCAGAACCTGCAGATGGTTCATGCCAGAGAAGGTCCCACTGTAGACGGCCACCAGGGAGTTGTTGGTGAGTAAGAGCTGCTGCAGGTTAGGGAGGTGGGAGAACATGCCGGGCGGCAGCAGAGCCAGGTTGTTCCCAGAGAGGTCGAGGTGGAGCAGACCCCCAAGGCCGCCCCAGCGAAGAGCCGTTGTAAGGTCTGTGAGAGCGGTGTAGTTTTGCAGCGAGCGGCTCAGGTTGAGCTCCTGAAGGGGACTGCCAGGTATGCTGAGGGCTTCTGGGTGGATGAGAGCCAGCGTGTTCCCGCTGAGGTCCAAGAAGCGCAGGTAGAGGAGGGCAGAGAAGCTGTGGGATGCCATCTCTGTGATCCTGTGAACATCACTAACAGTTAAATCTGTCCATTTACTATTGTTTTCATGTTTAGATACTGCACCTCATGCTACTGTCAAATAAAACAAAAATCATTCAGAGGAGAGGAAATGGTTTATTTCTGAGATACACATCAAGAAAGTTAATATGGCTTAATAAATACAAATGAAGCAACAGCAAAAAAAAAAAAACACCGACATTCTCACCTATTATTGCTTAAAATGATGTTAGTGACATTCTCCAGCTCTGTAAACGCATGAGGTCCAATCTGATGTATATTGTTCCCTTTGATGATGACATTCCTTGAATATCCTGGAATTTTTTCTGGCACTGTGAGCAGATCCGTGGAGACACATTTCACTGTGCGAGTCACAGAAAAACACTCACAGCCGAGAGGACACTCTGAGCACTGGCACTGAGCACAGAGGAGGAATCCCAAAAAGACTCGGAGCACGAGAAAACACATCTCTTAGGTAAAGACGATTACAACGAAAGATCAAATAATGTAAACAGAAGATGAACGGCTGAAAGAGTGAAATTCTAAATGCTGCTTTCGTCCTAACAGACTAGTGAAAGCTGTAGAGGCGGCAAAGAGCGCTCTAGTATCAGCCCCTCTGAATGTGCTCCACTCGGGGGGAATAGAGGTTCCTGTGAATTGATGAAGTTCATAACACGCAGAATCTGCTCGATGGAAAAGGTGTGTGGTTCCCTTAAAGGTACAGAGGACAATCGTGCTGTGACCTACACCGCAGACTGCCAGGGGGGAATCTGTACACAGAACATACTAAATAACTTTTTAAGAAACAGGCACATTTCAACTTAAATAGACACACAGTAATAAATAAAAATCAAACCAATAAAAATATATATACATATTATGATGTACCATTGCTCATAATTGGAATAGTTTTGCAGAGTTAAGTTGACATTCCAGCATTGAGATGCAGTTATAAAGCATTCAGAATCTGTCAAATAATACACAAATAATAAAAACACACTCGTGTCAAAGAAGAAAAATGGAAACATTTGTTTTTTTATCCATTAATGGAGAGAGGATTTCTTACAGCACAAAACCATTATTCATCACATGTGGGTCCTACATCATTCTATCTTTGGTAGATGCTCATATCTCTGAGACAAATAACTGATGAAGACTTTCAGCGTCTTGATTTAGTAAGCCAATTTGAAGCAATACATCACTGAAATGTGCATAAGCCGAGGTGGAAACACGTTTGTCACTGCCATTCTTGAGAAACACATTTCTGGATTCCACCGTGCGGCTCGGCTGTGGTGCAATTCTGGAGATTATCATCTCCCTTCATAAACTCCTTTTTTACAAGTTAATACAGAATGCAGCTGATTAGTAGATATTTAAGTTTTTGCATCTCACAAACTCATAAATACTTATTACAGACAAAGAAACATTAAACTATAAATAGCTGATACTAAAACTACTCACATACAGCCTGACTCTGTCCTTAAATACCCTCCAAGATACTAGATAACCAAGAGACAAAGAAGACTTTCAGATGGAATTTTTGTATAAACACAAGTCCCATGAAAACACATCAATCTTACAACAGAGTGTAAAGTCTGTGAAGTTATTCGGCCGAGCTGCTTCCTTCACTACTGCAGGTTTAACGTGAGGATGAAAGTGGCGAGGACCCCGCAGAGCATGAAGAAGGGGAACCAGGTTTTGAGGAACGCTGCCCAGCTGAAAGATACAGAGAGGGCGATGTGTTAGAGAAACATCTGGATGGTGTGAGAGCGTGTGCAAGGGTGACGCACACTCAAAACAAGGGCATGCAAGGTGTTGAAGTATCACATGTTCCTGTCTCTTTACTCTCAGAGGCCCACAGCTCTCCCTCCCCTCCCTCTCCCCTCCCTCTCCCCTCCCTCTCCCCCTTACACGCACCCCGGCCCGCGTCCTACTGTCCTCTCCACCCAGGCTGTGCGGGGAGCCCCAGCGGAGGGGTGACCTTCAGTGGTGACACAGAGGGGGAGCGCTGGTTGTCAGTGATAAATTACACGACTCGTCTCCAGTTTAAAAGGACTCCTGTGCTGTGGGTATGTATGAGCGGAGGCAGCACAAACTGTGACGCCAGCGCTTCTCTATGTGGGTCAGCCGAGAATAATGAGGGGGATTCTCTGAGCCATATGTCTCTTAATGCTCACCAGTGAACAGCAGCACAGTTATTTCAAAGATTGGGAACATTCTTGGTGCGTTTGGCTCAGCATCAGGAACTAGATGTTTCCCCATGATGCTGAATTCTTTAGTCCCATCAAAGCTTTTTTTCTACCAAAGTTTTTTCTGATTTTTTTTTCTCACAAATGCACAAAACTCCTGAAACATTGTGGGATCATTTTCAAGATGAGCAGCATGTGTGAATGCAAACAGCCAATGGTTTCACCTTCATTTTACCGGAAACGTTTCCTGCCAGCTCCCTGCTAACATTTCCATTCAGGTGTTTGGGCAAACGGCTAAATCTGTGTGCGGGTATGTGAGCTGCTTTATTTTGTTTTTCTGTTGACCAGTATGTTCTCCTCTCTATTTTTTATTCAGTGATAATGTCAAACTACGCACAGCATTGATATATAGGCACAAACTGTCATAGCATCGGACTGTTTTGGTGCGGCCACCATTCCTGCTTCGACCTTCGTAAGTCGTGTCGCCTCTGGCTTTTTTGAGTAGTTATAAGTGAATTTAATTTAATTCAATACATTCAATCAGAACCTTGTTTATCTACATTTGACCAAATAATCACCAAAACACTGCCCGACCATGCAATGAAACAAACAGCATAAGTTATCCCTCATAAAGACAGTTTCATATAAATGTTTTTTTTCTGTTGGTTGTTCAATCACTACTTTACGTGTTGTTGAACAAGACAAAACACATCTACCAAATGATAAAACAATCATAATAAGGAGCTGAATATCAAACTCACTGTTATTTTGTCATGTCTGTGGTTTACCTTTATTGTTGTTATCTTTATGATTTGTTTGTAATGCTGCGATGTCCGTTAGTCTGTCCTTACTGTGCTGTTCTTTATGTTTTAACTATTGTAAAGTGTCTTTGAGTTTTTAAAAGCGCTTATAAATAAAATGTATTATTATTATTATTATGTATTGCTTATACTACATGTGAGCGTCTCTGAATGGTGATACAAACAGCTGGATGACTTGTTTAACATACGTACCTCACATGTTTTCCGTGAATAAGAGACCGCATACACAGGTTCACCATGTTCCATGACGTGCTGTTGTCGTAGCGCATGAGGTTGAGGGCCATGGCGACGTGGGAATGGCAGTTATCTAAGCATAGATTGTGCTTCAGACAAATAGAGAAAAGGTATTTATTACGATGCTAACAATGACGATGTGGAAATATGTATTACAAAAAACATGAATGCTGTCTCACTGGTCGACACTTGTACTCCTCAGAAGCGTCAAACACTGCTTTGTCCCATGTAGCAGCACCATTGCCACACACTTTGTCCACATCGAGCTTCCAATACCTGCAACATGACATAACAATGTTATTGTTATGAACCATTTGCTGAAAGACGAAACAGACCAGAATAAACTTACTTTGTTGGTCTCCCAAAACCCATGTTGTCCTCCTGGATTAAAACAACAACAACAACAATTGTGTTAGTCATTGAAAGTGATTGTGACAGATTTACACTGTGTGAGTGGCAGCTTCTGCAGGCGCAGGGTTTTGCATTTTCATTCCTACCTCACTGGACTACAGCAGGGCCAGCACACTTCTGTGAACAGCCTCTGTAAAGAGGATCTACTCACCGAGACAAAATATGATCCTGCAAAATCTCTGATGATCCCAGCAGAGGTGCATATACCCATGTGGCCGATGAATGGGAGCAACCACCTGCAATATTCACACACAGCATAAAACAACAGCGTTACATCGATATACAGACATGCATACATGAGTATATCAAAAATATACAGTATGCATTACACTAACAATGACGTAGGTTTATAAGAACAGCTTCATCTGATATTAGCTGAATAACAACCTGTCGCATCAAGACCAGGGTTTAGAGACGTGTTAGCTTCTTACGATAAAATAGGAATAGGTGTCCAAACAATGCAGTAAGGGTAGCGACTGGTTTTTCTGTCGCTTTTTAAGAAATCCCCGTGGTAGTTCATCATCACGTCGGTCTCATCAACCTCCGCCATCACTGCCTGGAATGACGTCACGGCGGTGTGACAGTGACGGATTATACGGAACGCTGAAAGGATCAAGTCAAGTCCCAGCTCTAACACAACACTCGTTTTTAGCGCCACCTGGCGTTCAATGAGGCTGACGCCTGCAAGATGTAATAAAGCGAAAATACCTGCTATTTGTAAGGCAACATCTTTGGATATTGTATGAGCTTTCTTTTTAAATGTTTTTTTTACCAGTCATTTCTAAATTACAGGCGGCACCTTCTCTCCCTCCCTTTCTCTCTTTCTCTCTATCGCTACTTTCACTTTTTGTATCCTTTCTTAGGTATTTCATATAGTTTTGTAGTTTTTTTTATGTTCGTAGTATATTGTGTGTCTATTGATGTCTTAGTATTTTGCTGTCTTTATTTGTTTAATTTTATTATTTACTGTATTTCGGAGTCGTTGTCCTGACCTTGTCTGGTTTTTTTGTGCCTCATTTGTATATCACCAGTTTGTCACTTTATTGCACCTAATAAAAAATAATTAAAATTAAAATTAAAAATTAAAAAAATAATTTACAGGCGGCGAATATCACAAAATGCAGTTGTTTAGACGTTTGCGATGAAAATAACTTACTACTACTCTGTGTATTATGTTTATGTTTATGATGCTTTAAAAATATGTAATGTCATTCATTTTAGTTATCAAGACATTTGTCCCTGAGAATTTTCTAAGCTTCCATGCTCCTTACTTCACAGTATTAATGACCACTATTTCATTTTGCATGTGCTTAAGTGGAGGACTATCTGGAATATTTATTCAAAATTATTATGGCAGAAATTTTGAAAATGTTTTTGTTATTGGTCAAACTCAGAGACTCAGTCAGCTATATCATACTTTATCACCTACCCCTTAAGCTGGGTCAGCTCATTACACTCAGTATATGTGGTTAGAAGCTCTCCAAATGACTCCTGCTTGTGATGTACTGTGCAAACATTTCTAGTCTACTCAGCAACAGCAGGAAGTAGAGCAGCAGACAGTGATGAATGAGCAGGACACCAGAGAGTCTCACCTACAGTATTTTCCCCAACCTAATTAGTAATGTGTCAGTTCTTCTGTATCTGTTGTGTAACTGTTAAGGACAAACAATTCATCATCTGTTATGATGAAAAGAACAGCAAAACAAAAAAGAAAAATACAGACAAGGTGTTTGTTAATTTTATTCTTCACCTTGTGCTTAACAAAGGATTTTGCAGGAATTCTCAAATAAAAACAGATAATCCCAAATTAATGAAAAAAAGTCAAACACATGGAGGCCTAGTGTTACATTTTAAGGACTCATTCCTGACATTTAACCCTTTTTGGGAGAAATCTGCTGTTCACTGAACAACAGTTAGGATGGCTCTGTGTCCTTTTTTGCACACTACTATGTTCAGATAAGCCCCAAGCAAGCAGGACTGGACCCCTGATGGTAGTAGGACTAGTGCTAAACTCTCGCAGGCTGTACGCAGGAACAATAGGGTTCCTGTCTATTGCCAACAGAAACATAGTTGCAACAAACCACAAATTAGCATCTGCGCCCCATTTATACCCAAAACAGAACTTTCCCATTGACAATTCATGCCAGAGGACCAACAACACTGATTTGATTTAAATCAAAAACATTTTAGAACGCTTTTTTTTTTTTTTTTTAAACAAATATTTTTTTATTGATACTTGACCTTGTCAAAAATCTTTTGTAGTAAAACCTCTTAACTAAAAAGAGCACTGTATGCCAAAATCATGTTTCAATGAAACAAAGAAGACCATTTTTAAGCCTTGGCCATTTAAATGACAGATTACAACCTTTGGCAGAAGAAAACACTTTTTTTTTCTGACAGTTATAAACCAAACAAAGCTTACAAATATATTTCATTGTAGCAACACTTGCAACTTTCAAAATGTGGACAATTCAGTTTAGGTGTCCTGTGACCAAAACTCCAACTTAAAATATGAGTTTAACTCAGAATGGATACCTTGGGCGTGCAGCTTTTCTGCATGAGCAGGCACTAAACCTCTGAGCTCCAACTGTAGCAGACAGGAGATGCAACAAAGCACTCTCTTCTGGTCTGTGATCTGATCCTCCACGGAGGACTCAACTGCTGTGTGGCCACCCTGACCTGAGAATAGGTCGCTCAACCTCCAGCTTCTTCTTCTACGTATTGTGTTTCTCTCCAACATAAACCTGAGGAGGGATAAGTGCTGAACTCCTCCTTCTTTGTGAGAAACGGGGGAGTGACGTGGAAGGTGCTCTCCTCAAGGTGTGCCCCTGCCACTGTGGGGCGTGGAGGGAGAGGCAGAGGTGTTGTTGGTGCAATGAAGGGGTGTAATGCATGTACTCTCCATCCTCCATGAATTCCTCTCCCCAAAAGTGATCTCCGCCAGTCCTCTCTTTGGACAGGGGAGGGTGATGCATAGTGCAGATATGTGACATGACATTCACTCAATGTTTCTGTCAGACTCTAAGGGGTGGGGATTAAGATTCAAACGAGAGCTGGGCAGGGCGAGCGCTTCTTGCTTCCTACATCCATTCAATTGAATGGCTGACACTTCTGTTTAGCTTGGCCGACACTGCACTTGTCCCTCTGAGCTGTCTTCATCATCGGACCCTTCTGGACCAACGCCACGCAGGCCCGTGATGCGATAGCCCATGTTGAGCAGCATTACCTCCAGTGGGTCAGCATTCATACGCCGCTGGTTCGCCTGAGCCGCGCCCTCCATGTCCTCCACCACACGGACATTGTCACACTCAGTCTGTGTTATGAGAAAAGAAAAGGGAAAGAAAAAGGGATACCAAATCAGCTGAAATGCAAAGGACGTTCAAATATATTTGTACATCTTGTACTGTACATGAAAACAAGTTAAAGGAAGAATGTGAAGTCTATCCTCTGTAAATGTCTCTCTGAGTCATGACTGTCTACAATGAGTGAGAAGCTCGAGTCACTCCAGCTGTATTGTTGTCAGAGCTGTGTTTACATCATCTTTACATGGACGGGACGGCCTTGCGTATAAAGCTGTTTTAGTCAAGGACTAGAGAAAAGAATAAGAAAATAGCCTGGAGTGGAGAGGGGTTGGAGGTGTGCCGCTGGAGGAGAGCGGAGGCTTCAGAGTAGCGGAGGTGTCGCCAAACAGCACTTTGTTTTGGTTTAATGCTGGTGCTCAAGGGCGACATCTACTGGATCAAAAAGTTGCACATTCTTCCTTTAATTCATTGCGTCTTCTGAAATTAAAACGTATGGAACTGCTAAAGTCGCCAAATATCACATGACCACCTAATTTTAACAAAGTTCTCAGATGGTCACTGGTTGATGCATCAAAGGAAGAGTGTGGATATTTAAACAAACTACATTCCAAGAATCAGTATGATTTTTGGGGTTAGGTAATCAAGCCAAGAAGCACTGTGCCCCAACATGACCTATTAAATACTATAAAGTGTCAGTTCGTTTACCTCGGGTCTAGGGTTCCATAACCGCACAACAGGGTCAATACCACTAGTAGCCAGGAAGCAGTAGCTGGGGTGGGGCTGCAGGCAGTTGACTATGGACTCATCCCCCTGCAGGATTCTCACAAGATTAGTTGTCTCCTTTTCCCAGATGAAAAAGGAGCCATCATCTGAACCGCTGACGATGTACTGGCCTTTACTGTGGAGAAAGAAAAGGATCTTATATTGAAATATAAGATCACAAAAATCCAGTAGAAACAGTATCTAGATCAAAGATTTATATATGAAAGCTACTCTCTAATGCTTTACTTATTCTCTACTGCCCATTCATAGATCTGTCTTCAGCTACAGCGCTTGTGATTGCCCCCTTGTGAGCTGATGGGACTGGGACTGAGATCTACTTACCTTCCAAAGAAGTTAGCCTCTTTGATGTCGGTTGTGGTGTTGCAGTGACCACAGTATCTGTGCTTGTAGTCAAAGCTGCGTTCTCTCAACACCAGCTCATCTTCAGGGACGGACTCCTTCCGACTGAATGAGTGGAACCTAATGGAGCTGTTTGCCTTCTTATCGTCTCCTAGTGTAAAAAAAAAATAATCGTACTTATTAGCAGAGTCATTCAAATGCATTTACAAAGACTGTCTGTTAGTCTTAGAACACAAAACTAAGATCAAAACAAAAGGGTATAAAAAAAAACAGTTTTAAGTAGTCGTAAAATCCAGAAAACAAACATAAAAATGTGTTTTCTTCCATTTTCCACTTGTGTTCATACTCAAATAAGTTACTGCACATCAGACAAGTAACCAGTTCACTCTGTTCTACCTGTTTCTGTCTTGGTGAAGAGAGCAGCCTTGATGTCTTTGTCTAAGGAATCGCAGGCACTGCTGTGCGCCTGCTCAGGAAACTTTCCCTTGAAATCATCCAGACACTCCAGAGCTTCAGCCACATACTTCAGCTCAAAGAGACAACGTGCAAGTCTGAAATGAGCCTTCAGGTGAGCAGGGTTTAGAGTCAGAGCCTTCAGACAGTCCCTGAGGGCATCGTAATGATCTCCGTCCCTGTGAATCACAGATATTAGTAAAGACTTGATACATACTTTCATAGCCTTCAACAGTAGTTTATAAATCATCTCCCTGCTGCGATACAAAGACACTTACCACTTGCGTTTCATGTAGGCTGCAGCCCTGTTCCCATACAGCATGGCGTTGCAGCTGGTGTGGTGAATACCTAAACTGTACAGCTGGATGGCCTGGGTCCACTGCTGCCGTGCGAATGCATCGTTAGCTTGTTGTTTTATTTTCTCCAAGCTAGCAGGGAGATCGGTAGAACTAGCACGAAAAAGAGAAAGAGAAGCATGACTGACCTATGTACATGCTTGATCTTTAATGAAGTCTGTGCACAAAAACCAACTAGGGTAAACATAAATACCAAGAGTGCATCTTGCTTTCAGCAAATCGAATATGGCTGGTTGGTAGGTGGATTCCATTGGAGACGCCATTGGTTGTTTTTCCATTCTGTAGATCCCCTGTGAAGCAAAGTTTCATAAATAATGACTACATATATAGATGTCTATTTATTTCCACAAGGCACCATTTA